AAGAAAAAAAAAATTAGATAATATGAATGGAGTGGAGGTCATAGCGATGATGAAATTGTGAGTACACTTTGTTAAGATATAGAATAGGGGTGAATCCTTTTATACCAGTAATTTCACCGTATTTCGATTTGTTTTCTTATATCCCTGTTCAAATGATCAAAACAAGCCTCATCTTGTCTTCGAATTTTGATGAAAATTTCTTACCGTTGATACGTCCTATCATCAAATCAAGTACATTCATTTCCATTGAATCGAATATATCATATCAAAGCCAGAGGCATAGCTCTACGAGGGGGCACAGAGACACGTGAACCCCTCCCCCCCCCCCCCGCTGAATGGTGACAAAATAGAGAAGTAGAGGGAAGGGAAGAGAGATTGGGAAAGAGCAGGGAGAGGAGGAGGAGGAGGAGGAGGAGGAGGAAGGGAAGGGGATGTGAACAGATGATGATTGGACCACCTCTCATCCCGTAGCTTGCGTTCATATTAATTTTACTGTGCAGTGCCCCCCCCCCCCCGCCCCTTAATTGCTATACGATATTGTCATGGGCTAATAAAGAACACTGGTCACTAAGCAACTGGTGTCGTGATGTTTAATAAAGAAATAGATGGGCATGAGTGTATGTATGCAGGAAATATGAATAAAGGGAATATGTCTTTACTGTGCCAACATTAATTCAACGAATGCAATGTACCGCCATTGGTATACCTTCGCAGGTTCGCAGGTTGAGTTTCGGATTACATATTACAAATATTGACACTTATACAGAGTCAGTTACAAAATCGAGAAAGATATCATAATAATGCCAGTATGACATTTGATATATGTACAAATAAAAAAAACGTATTGTTGATATAGCGAGAGGAATCGATCATGCCTGTAATTGTGATACAATGTACTGTTTATAGAAAGGACATTCGAAGGTAAGATCTGTATATCAAAATAGCGCATAATATAAGCATGATAAAGGGAATGGTACTATTTAGTTGAAGTGTATTACCAAATTGGTTAACATGCTTATATAACTAGGGAAAGTTTTGTCCAAGAGGATTTCTACTTTTGTATTCTTAACAAATGAGGCCCATTTTTTTGAGGGGGGGGTCCAAGGATGCAAGTACAAGTTAGATTAAGAAAACAAAATGTGCATAATGGTGAGTCAGTTCTTTCCATCATTAACGAGAATGACTTCAAAGCAAAACAAATCATGGAATATCTTGAGTAAAGAAATGCCAGACGGACCTTACACAAAAACAGTTTTGTTTTAAGAAAAATGCTACGTTTATTAGAATTCATCAGTATTGAAAAAGTTGCACTGCGGTCAAGAACTCAAATAATTTGAAGACAAGCTAAATATATCATGCCCTACTTCTGTCAGACAAAACTAGATTCTCATGTTGAAATTGTATTTCGAATTCGTGAATTTTACCTTCATTGGTAAGCTCAACCGAATGCGACGAAATCCTATCCAGCTGAAACAAAAACAACCTGATAACAAAATGAATACCGCGGCTTAAAATTATGTGCATGCAGGGATGTACACGTTTTCTTTTGCCTTCTTTTGCATTCTCCTGCCGTCCTGCTACAAAATGCTCTGGGTTAATTTCCCACACTAACCGAATACATAACTGCAACCGAGGGGGTGTTTCACAAAGACTAAGATTGACTTTAAGCTGGACTTAACTAGGGCAGGCTATTCGTGCCACTGGTTGCTGTCAACAATGGTCTCTCAATTATGATCTTTAGATAATATTTTTTCCTTCATTAATTAATTATCAAAAAATGTAAATTCTGTAATAGATTTGTGACCATGATTTGTACGTCTCTTAAGAGACCAATGCCAGTAAATGATGAGAGAAAATGGTGGCATGAACGGCTGCCATAGTTAAGTCCAACTTAAAGTCGATCTTAGTCTTTGTAAAACACTCCTGCTGCCCCTGGACCAAACACTATATACCTACATATACCTGAACCTAAGCCTAAACCTAACCTAAACGTTCATTATTTTCAAACGCGAACCCTAACCCTGTACTTTTGACGAAATAAAGACTGGAGTAAATTCCCAAGTAAATTTCGGAGGAGCAAATGCGGATCACCGGTTGTTATGCCCCATGCATGACATGTATTCCATCACTCTCTTGCACATTGATCTATCTGCGAACGTGCAATCTCAAAGTAATGGTTGATTACAAGGAATTAAGCTGTCTGCCTCCTTGTAAGTACTTCCCCTGGTAAACAGAGTGGTTACAGATAGCTTGCTTTTAACGTCATACATTATTCTACTTGTCGCTTTTGTCCATCCATGTCTAAGTTCTATACAGAAGTTTGGGAGAGGGCTCTTTAGGGACTTAATTTGGTGTACGAGGCGAGCAGGCAGGGAGGGGGGGGGGGGGTGCGGCAGCCCACAGGGGAAAGTAATTTGGGCCAACTTTACCTCCTGTTTTAGCTGCTAGCTGTCCGAATAACCTAAACTTTTGCAGCGAGGTGCCCGAATGTGTAATAATTCAAATATCTGTTTATATAATTTTTGTTTTAGTGTTATTGGCCTTTTTGCGATGACGAAGGAATATGTTTATAATAAAATGTCAAAACGTTCATAATTATGAATAGACACAACGATGAAGAACTTTCAAAGATTTCTCAAGTTCATCGAATATCTTGATCAACCAAGAAACTAATATGTGCATTCTTCTTTCTCTTCGAGAACTTGACCCTGAGGCCGGTATCACACACATTAATCAACCAACCACCTTTTAAAACTGGATGGGCTGAATGTAATCTAAACGCAATTTATAAAGTAGGATTAAAGATTAATGTGATTGCCTCGTGCAGAGGATATTTTTAGGCGCGAAATTAGATTTAAATGCTCAATGAGCCTCCAAAGAGAGCAAATTTCTCTGAATTAGCTCACAATTAAACGCATTTTGGGGGTGCCAAAGCGTCAAAGAAGAGAGAGAGAGAGAGAGAAAGAGAAGAGAGAGAAGAGAGAGAGAGAGAGAGAGAGAGAGAGAGAGAGAGAGAGAGAGAGAGAGAGAGAGAGAGAGAGAGAGAGAGAGAGAGAGAGAGAGAGAGACGGATTGTGGGGGAGGGGGGGAGGGAGGGGGGGGGGGGAGGTCCAAACAAGAAATAGAGAGCGAGTGGAGAGATGATAAAAAATAACAAAGAAACTAATACACGAACACACGTTTCCACATACTACTAATACTACTACTACTACTACTACTACTACTACTACTACTACTACTACTATTACTACTACTACTACTACTACTACTATTAATGATAGCAATAATAATAATGACAATAACAAAAATAAGAAAATGATAATAATGCCCTATATAGTTTTATTTATCCAGGTTAGCCTCATCTGTTTGATCAAATTAGGTTTGAAATCCTAGCTGTTTATTTCTACGTTCCCTCTAGGGGAGAGGGGGAGGGATCTTTAACTCATATTTCACCAACCATTACCCCTCTTCCCCTCCCCGATTATACTGATTTAGCGGCAAATAAGAATGTTAAATCTTTTGAATGGTCAGATTTTATTTGCACTAAAAAATTGTCAAAAGCAGAATATTATTTTTGTCAATGGTGATTACTCGCCTAATACGGTATACGGTATCAGTGGCGGATCCAGGAGGGCACAGTAGGCACGTGCCAAAAAAAATTAGTGCGCACTCCCCCCCCCCCCCCCCACCCACCCAACTGAGTGAATTTGCGGAGAATTTTCGCAAAAAAAAAAAAAAAAAAAAAAAAAAAAAAAAGTGCTCTTACCCCCCGTGTGCTCCCCGTGTGCCCCCCTCCCCCCGGGAAGAAATTCCTGGATCCGCACCTGGGTATACGGGTATATGATGCTCTAAATGGGTTACTATTTTGCAAAAAATCCCCATACATGGGATATGATATTGTGCTGCAAAATCCATAAAAGTGCCCCCACATTTCAGATCTTGGCCTCAGACATGGGTCACTATTTTTTCAGGATAATATCTTCCCAAAAATCTCGCTAAAGTGAAAATTCCAGATGCGAAATCCTCCAAAAATTATTGACATCATTTCGCTTTTTCATCGAAAGTTCTTTAATGGGCGATCCAACTTCACAGGTTTTCGCAACCTTCATGGAAAGCCCCGCATATAACTTTTGTAAACATAGTTAAAATTTACTGTTACTTTGTATATTTTGATTTTTATATTGCGAAATAAAATTGAATTGAATTGAATTGAATTGAAAGTTATCGCCGATGGTCGGCTAGACTAATTTATAAACGGGTAATCCCGACAAAAAAAAACAAAAAAAAAACGTGGAACGTTTAAAAGAAATTGAAGGAAAAACAAACAGCTTAAACATGATCGAAAGCTGTTTAATTAGTTAAGGGGATTAAGGTATGTGAAAGTGCAAATCATTCATGCAAATGGAATACGCCAAAACCTTAAACATGGGTTGCGTTTTGAATGGAAGTCCCTAATAATGGGTACCATTTTCTGCCAAAATGGCCCTTAAAATGGGTATGGGTTGAGACGCTTCAGCCGCACACCCTCGTCCAAATCGAGTCTGAGAACCCCCCCCCCCTCCCATCGGATTAGACGTTGACTAGTGTAAAACCGTGCATTTCGAGTTTGCCGCAAAAACGCTTTTAAAATTATACCCCCCCCCCCCCAAAAAAAAAAAAAAAAAAATTATCTATCTATCTCAGTATCTCTCTTCCTCCCCTCCCTCTCTTCTACTCCCTCTCTCTTTGTCTATCTATCTAATCTATCTATTTTTCATACCGTACTTACCTTGGTTACCTATGCCTACTTATACTTACCTAGTATACCTACCTATCTATCTATCTATCTATCTATCTATCTATCTATTTATCTATCTGTCTATCTGTCTATCTGTCTAGCTATCTATCTATTTATCTCTCTATCTATTTATCTATCTATCTGTCTATATATTTATCTTTATATACCAACTTGTCATCATTTTCTCGTCTAGTCTCGATTCCAGAGCTCATCGTGACGTCATCACCCACATGGGTCGCAGAGCCGCCATATTGTAAAATTCGGGAGTGTGAATCTCGATCTGGCCATAAATATTTCCGCCTAGCCACCGGATAATTTCGATTCCGTCGAACAACGTAGGCTCACAAGATGCCTACTTATTTTCAGAGACCTGAGAATGCTCTGAAAAGAGCAAATGGTAAGTATTTGTGGTCTAAAATGAATTTAAGCGTGTGTTTCATTCATTCATTTGTGTACTAAAAATTATGATGTGGTGAATGCAGTGTATTATATGTACAGGCGGACATGCATAAGGCCATGCACAGTGTACGTGGTGTCCGCTTCGCGCGCCTGACTGTGTCTATGCATGTGAGCTTGAGCTTTGAGGTCATGCCGGTTGTGTAGTTCTGCCATATGTTGAAAATGCATCATATTTTTCCTTTGCAGGTTCCAAGTTTTTACCCTTTAACTTGCACAAACTATTTGAAAATCAATGCTAACCTGAAGTAAATTTAACTTCAATTTCTTTCCTGGCATTTAATTAAACAAAAGAAAGATTTTTGTTACTTGTTAGGAACCTCCCATTTTTTAATTTTAGTTTTATTTTAATTTCTAATTTTAGAACTCCCCTCTCCCATTTTTCTATTTTTTTCTTTCACCGAGATATCAAATAGCTAAGTTGTTGTCTGTTTAGATTATAGAGTTGTACATTGCTGCTGGAGTACAGAATCTTCATATGAAATATTTAAAGAACGAGTCAATATGATGATGATCAAATGAAATTAATGAAAAAGTTGAAAAACAAGAATGAAGAAACACCACCATGACTATTGACCAATTAATACTAAATAGGCCAGGTAAAACAAATTTCTAGTTTCTTGTCCCAGTCTACCTAGTGTCTGGCTGCCTCCTTTGTCATAACATTTGGGAAATCTGAAGAAAATGTTGGCAATAATTTATAGAAAATTCTCTTCCCGATTGTCAAAAATAAATGGGACTGAAAAATTGGTGGATTATGTCTGGCTTCGCGGAATGTCTTGGAGCTGGAGGATTGTGTCAGAAGTCAAAGAATTTTTTTTTGTTAACCTTCTTGATTTTTATAGACAAAAAATGTCTTGTCGGTGTTGCAATCTTGCACTAGGCTTGTTGTTGAACTGGTTCTTTTGTTCGTTTATAATGGAAAGAAACATTGAAACCACACAATCTGTAACAATCACTGATCGAGCTAGTGTTAGATCAAGCCCATGAAGTAATATCCAAAAATAAAAAAAGATAAGATATGATTTTCTTGCTTTATTGAAAAAGACACTTATTTTCTTGTCCATTTCAGAGTTCATCGATGTCGGCAAGAAGCAGCCGGCCTTGGACGCCCTCTACGATGTCATCAAGAGCAAGCGACATCGAACCTGGCAGAAAATCCATGAGCCCATCATGGAGAAGTACCTGGAGCTCTGCGTCGACCTCCGCAAGAGCCACATTGCCAAGGAGGGCCTCTACCAGTACAAGATCATCTGTCAACAGGTACATCCACAAGTGCACACATTTGGAAGGGCTTGACACTTTAAGGGGTGTGGCACTCAGGGACATTATGGACCCCTAAACTATTCCCCTCAAAAAAATATTTAGTGTTGAGCTTTGCATTCAGAATGGTTTTTGTAAATTTATTTCGGAGCTGAAGCCGGTTCAACAAAAATGTATGAGTTTGTTTGCATTATAGAAATAGAAATTTAAACCCCCAAAACACAGAATAGTTGTATGCATAGACAGCAAAGTACCATAGGTTATCAGTTAATAAATGAAATTATTAAAAAATTAAGTCCTCAAATGCAGAAAGCACAACTTTTTGTATTTTGTTAAGGTCTGCACACATCATGTGGAAAAATGTTTAAATGGCATCAAAGTATTATGGATCAAGTGAATGTTCTAGAGGGGATGCTGCTTATTTGAAGTTTGATATTAATGAATCATTTTATCTTGTTTTTTATCAAGGTGAATGTGAAGTCCTTGGAAGATGTGGTGAGGAAATACTTGAAGCTCGCTGGAGACCAGACAGAGGACGCTAGGAAGGCCTCCGAGGCAGTGGTTGGTCATGTCGATGTCGATGATCTCGATAATCTCACCACCCCAGAAAGGTAAAAAAAAAAAAAAAGGCAATTTTTTTTCTTCTCATTTCGCTGTTCCCTTTTGTCTATTATTTCTTTGTTTCTTTCTAACCATCTTTCAGTGTTGGCTCTTAGTCTAACTTTTGAAGTTGTGAACTTGACCAATCTAAGAAATTTTTCATGGAGCAAATGTGGCCATAGTATGCATGCATACAGTCTGTCCTTCAGAAGGTAATTCAGGGATGCCAGTTTTCAGGCAGTAGCATGAATTCAGGCCGTGGCAAGTTGTTTTCAGACCATAGTTAGGGTCTTTTCTGTACAAAATAGCTCATTCTAGGTAATTTTCAGGCCCTCTGATCAATTCTAACCGACATCCCTGGTTATTCTATTCTTAACTTTCTTCCGTTTTTCCTACAGCCTTCTCCTGAGTGCGGTCAGTGGAGAGGACGCTCAGGCCAGGAGTGACCGCGTGGTCCTGATACCATGGGTCAAGTTCCTCTGGGAGTCCTACAGACAGTGTCTGGACCTGCTCAGGAACAACAACAGACTGGAGAAGCTCTACCAGGATGTGGCCCAGGATGGTAGGTCCAGGGGGCGTTTCACAAAACTTGTCATCAGTGACAGATGACAGTTTTTGTTACAAGCTACTGAAATCCTTGCTTCTGATTGGTTATCAGCAGATTTGTAACTGATTTCTGTTTATTTGTCATTGAAAAAAGGCTTTGTGAAGTGGGTCCCAGGGATGGGGTCAGAGATGGAGTGGTGGCAATAATTAGGAGGAGGAGGAGGAAGGTTGTTATTCTAACAATCTTGGTCATTTGCAGGGAAATTGCCATAAGTCAAAGTCCAATCACATTCCTGCAAAAACATGCAAATGGCAGAGATGTTAATAAAATTCTTTATCGTTTCTTACCAAGGGCATCAGTATATTAGAGAGATAGTGGTAAGAATGACTATTATAATTACGTTGTTACACTGATGCGGGGCTTCCACTCAGTGCAGAATGTACAACCAAACTAGAAAATGATGACAGGCAGGAATCTGCAGAGTAGATGACTCGATCAAAGTGTTTGATGTTAAGTAAAGAAAACAAAAAGTAATGGTCATAGATTAAAAAAAAAATATGAAAAGAATAGAAGGGGAGAAAAATAAATAGAATTCATTCTTAACACACTAAACCATTGCACAAAGTATGACTTGAGTGTTTAGGTCAGAGATTGTTTATATATAAGATGTGGCATGCTGACCGAAGGAGCTCTTTCTCATGTTATATCCACAGCTTTCAGATTTTGCCAGAAGTACCAGAGGAAGACTGAGTTCCGGAAGTTATGTGATAATGTAAGTATGAATAGTTGAATACAAAATTCACCGAAATAGTAGTAAAGCATTTGAAAGAAGTCACAAAATTCACATGTTAATTCAGGAGCTCTAGACTGCTATTGAAAATTAAAATGAATGGTTCAAAAATTGATTTTCATACGTAGTTCATGAAAAGGAGAGACTTTGCCAATGGACATTTTGAGATTTACTTTTGCAAAGAAATGTCAACATCTATAAATTTCTTAGCAGGTTCTAAATCAGAAAATATTCATAATGCATTTTTGTTTAAAGCCCCACTGTACTACTTGTATCTACTTGCTCCTGCTATATAGAAAACAATGCCAAATCGGTGCCTGTTTGCCCCCCATGATCCTCTTTTTCTTATGTTGATTGAGATCTGAGTTGATGAGATAGCCACCTGTCAGTGACCACCCTGGGTAGTCTAATCCTTCCTAGCCAAACTAGTACAGACGACCTTTAAAAAGTAAAGTGTGAAGTTTGCGGGCCTGCCATCATACTTAACAGTGTACATCTGTCTCTTTTGCAGTTGCGTAACCATCTGAACCTGATCGAGAAGCACCAGAACCAGTCGACATCCATCAACCTGAACAATGCCGAGAGTCAGCAGCTTCATCTGGATACCCGTCTCTTCCAGCTTGATACAGCCATCAGTATGGAGCTGTGGCAGGTCAGTCCCATCTTAATACTACCGTCGATTAGGCTCGCCTCCTTTTTGACTGCGGCCTCCTTTTCATTACTAACTACTATTCAGAAGAAATAAAAAGATCCCTCCCCCAAAACAAAGCCTGTGATATACATTTTGTTTAAATAGCTTCTAAAGTTATACAAATCATTTGTTTTGTCATACATTGCATCAGTATACTCACATAGCACAATATCTGTGAATAAATAGGATTGGCCAGCTATAATTAGCATGGCAGCCGTCTTGGGAAAAAATAGCAAAACATAGTAAATGGTAATGCCCTGCCTCCTTTAAAAAAAAAGTGCGGACGAGAAACACATTTTTGTTATTTGGCCTTACTAGTATAATCTATGGTTAATTTGTTGTGGAAGGGTTAAAGTATAGCTTCATGTTGACAATTGACACCCGTCTGTTCCATCTTGATGCACCTACGGCAGGTTATTCCCGCTTCCTACCCTTGCTTGAAATATTTGATATTTGTGAAATCAGTGGTTATCTGAGACTTTTAAAGGGTAACTAATGTTGGCTATGATTACTGGTATCTGGGACTATATTCAACTGACTTCTATCAGTTTATACTTGACTGTTATAATTGTAATTTGATTCCCTTTCTAATTGACTTGGTCTACAAGGGCGAAATTTACTTCCATTTATGATTGGAAATGCCCAATCTCTCTTATTTCTATTAAAATGATTCAAAATCTAATAGGATTTGTTAAAATTCTAGCACCATTGGCACTGATTACAGATTCCAGTTCCTGATTTTAGGCCATGTAGTTTTCTGGCTTAAAAATTGTTTATAGACTTGAGACCAGGGACCCGTTTCACAAAGCCCTTTTTCAATGACAAATGACAAGTCTGCTGACAACCTATCTGAAGCTAGGATTTCAGTAGCTTATAACAACAACTGTCATTTTTCACTGATGACAAGTTTTGTGAAACGCCCCCCTTGAGCCTACTAGCCACCCACTTCCTAACCAATGCAAATCAATATGCTTATTCTCCACAGGAAGCCTACAAAGCAGTGGAGGACATCCACAACCTGATGGGACGTTCCAAGAAGTCTCCCAAGCCCCAGATGATGGCCAACTACTACCACAAGCTTGGTCTGGTCTTCTGGAAGTCTGGTAACGGTCTGTTCCATGCCTGCGCCCTGCACCGTCTGCTCCAGCTCTCCAGGGAGCACAGGAAGAACCTCACCACTGAGGAAGTCCAGAAGTAAGTAGTCCTCACACCTCCATCTCGAGGGGTCAGTGACACAAAGACGTAACTTCTTTTTGGCCATGTTTTGAGAAAAAGTGGTTTATGCACTAAGCACTTAGGCCTTAACCCTTACTGTACTGGGCTATTTTGAGCACCTCACTGACTGGGGGGGGGGGGGGGGGGGGGGGCTGTGATCTCGGCCGTCGAACGTCCGATGAACACATTGTTAAACGATGCCTTTAATGCATATTTTAGTTGTAATGCTTGTCATTCTCTTTTAAAAGAATCGGTATCCCACTCCATTTATTCAAGTGATATATTCCAATGTTTCTTTCAATTTTTTTTTCTTTCCACAGGATGGCTTCCCGCGTGCTGCTTGCCACCCTCGCCGTCCCTATCTCGCCTCCCCGCAATGACATCGGGGACATGCTGGATATGGGTAACACTGCTGCAGAGAATCAGCGCAAGCTTGCCAACCTTCTGGGCCTGCAGTCCTCCCCAAACCGTCGCCAGCTCATCAAAGAACTGGTAGGAACTTCTATTAAAGCCACACTATACTACTTGTAGCTACTTGCTCCTTCTATATAGAAAACTTCACCAATCAGTGCCTGTTTGTCCCCCATGATCCTCTTTTTCTTATGTTAATTTAGAGCTGAGTTAATGATATAGCCACCTGTCAGTGACCTCGCTGGGTGGTCTAATCCCTTCTGGCTAAACTAGTACACATGGCCTTTAAAAATTGCATATTGGATATTGCAAAAAGAAGTGAGTGTTATATATACATATCTGCAGGAAGAAATTAAGTCAATTCTAGTGCAAATGTAGGTAAGGGCAGCTTGAATCTCTTGGTTTGAGAAAATCTGTGAGTGTATATGATGTTAACCAAAGTAGTGGAACCTTCTGAGTACTTCATGAGGAAAACACTTGCCCTCTCTGACACACTCCAGATTTTTGCCTTTTCCCTGATGTTTATATTTATTTTTGCAAAACCCACTAGAGCTTGGATAAGATAAAATATCTGGTAAAATGATCCTCTCGGTGTCAAAGTGACTAAATAGCTCTGAATTGCCCTTTTTCTTATGTTAATTGAGAGCTGAGTTAATGATATAGCCACCTGTCAGTGACCTTGCTGTGTGGTCTAATCCCTTCTGGCTAAACTAGTACAGCTGGCCTTTAAAATTGTTTTCATGTAGTTTCATTTTGTACCAATTTTGGGCTTGAGCTTTGAAATCATCTTAATCTCCAAACAAAGATAACTTGTTATTTTTGTTTGTTTTAGGGGTCCATTTCAGACGTGAAGTACCTTCTATTATAGGAGATTGGTCAGAGACAACCAAACTTTAGATATTGAACATGTCGGCACTTACATGATGTTTGAATTTCTGGACAACATTTTTTACTTGCTTCTGTTTAGGAAAACCTGATATTGGATTACAAATTACAAATTTTACACCAGTAGACAGTTCAGTTGCAAAATTTGTGAATCACGATTATGGATGAATTGCGAAGATGGTTCTTATGTCTCAAAAGTGAAGTATGTAGCATAAGGATGAGGCCTCACTTCTGAATAATGATAATAATATTCAGTTATTGTATAGCACATTTCACATTAAACAACATCTCTATGCGTTTCCAAAGAGCTATTTAAATAATTACCAGTATCTGCTGTACATTAGGGTTTCCTGCTTAATTTTCTCACTCCTTCTATCCACCACACAGATCAAGTACAACGTGGTTCCCCACGTGATCCCTCAGCTCCATGACCTCTTCAAGTGGCTGGAGGTGGAGTTTCATCCCCTGCACCTGTCTGATAGGGTCTCTGGTATCCTGGACTTCCTCAGGGATAGCAAGGAGACCGAGATGGCTCAGTATGTACCTGCTCTCCAGGACAATGCCATCATGAGACTCCTCAAGCAGGTGGGTCAAAGCACACATAGCTGCATTACTATCCTGGCTGTGTATTAATACCTATTTTATTGATTCTCAACATTTTAAAGACCACTGTACAAAATTCAACTGATTTCACTGAAAATCGGTACTTTAATAACAATTGATGACGCCTAAATAGCAGTAAAATTCACCTAAAACACCTAAAATAGCTGTCAAACTTGCTTACCGTCGCATCGGCATGATTGTTTGCATTTGTGTATTATGTGTGTATTGACTATTCATGTGTCCAAATGCTGCCTGTTACATGTAGTACAGTGCTAGAAGTCTATGCCTTGCTGCAGTGGGTGAAGGAGATTGTCTTGGGCGAATAAGGGACAGTTCTGACATTGTCACTATTAATAGTATGACCATCAGAATATCAACATCAAACATTGTAGCTAACCAATATACCATCACTTCAGTATTGAATTGTTCAATGTTTTTTAATCCCCAAAAGTTGCGACTATATCTTTGCTGGTTCGTCATATGATCTAGCAAATGTTGATCCATGTGTACTATTTGTGTGTGCATTGTGGTATAGTAGTTGATTGGCTTTGAACATTGAGGTCCCAAGCCAAGGTTGAATATCCCAGACAACGAATCTTAATGGAATTGTGCCAAGGTGTATTTAAAAGTAGTGCATGGTTGTCTTCTAAGATTTAATTTCCTAAACAATTGTTGATAAGTAATAATAGCAATAATTCTAGTCCACATGTGGATAAAGGCAAATTAAATCTTTTTTTTGGAGAAAATCTGTGAGTGTATATGATGTTAACCAAAGTAGTGGAACCTTCTGAGTACTTCATGAGGAAAACACTTGCCCTCTCTGATACACTCCAGATTTTTGTCTTTTTCCTGATGATCGTATTATTTTTGCAAATCCCACTAGAGCTTCGATGTGATAAATATCAGGTAAAATGATCCTCTAGGTTTCAAAGTGACTAAGTAGCTTGGTTTTTTCCCCTGCCCTCCATAGGAAGTAATAGTAATAATTTCCAATAATCTCCAATATGTGAATCTTAAAATATAAATATCTAAAAAAAAATCCCTAAAAACATCTATCATTTTTCTCAATAGGTGTCTGAAGTGTATGAGACGATCGAGATGTCTCGCATCTATTCCCTGGTGGAGTTCTCCTCCCACTTTCACCTGGAGAGGATGGTTGTTGATGCTGCAAGGAACGGAGTTGTCCAGGTAAAGGAAAATTCTGTAAACCCATTCTGTAAATCCAGCAACAGTCCTTGGGATGTTGATTCTGTAACATTTGAAATTGTCCTTCTTGTAAGGTTCATGCAGCTAAATAATTGAACCACAACATGCAATTTTTGCAAATTGGTGATTTTTTTTATTTTGCTCAAATTTTGTGTTGCACTGGTCTCACTGTATCCAGAGATGTGCACATTGGTATTCATGGTTGATTTTACAAGTGATGGGAAGTGATGAAGTTGCATATATTAGTTGTTGCTAGGTAGGAGAAACAAAATGGCTTGCCCTACCTAACATCATGTAATATATGCAATTTGCATACTGAAAATTGAAGTACTATTGAAAGACTATTGAAATACAATTATTTGTATTTCAGTATGGATTTCGCAATATTGTGTTATATCAAAATATCTGCAAGAAGAAATTAAGTGAATTCTAGTTCAAATGTAGGTAAGGGCAGTTTGAATCTCTTGGTTTGAGAAAATCTGTGAGTGTATATGATGTTAACCAAAGTAGTGGAACCTTCTGAGTACTTCATGAGGAAAACACTTGCCCTCTCTGATACACTCAAGATTTTAGCCTTTTCCCTGATGATCGTATTATTTTGCAAATCCCACTAGAGCTTGGGTGAGATAAAATGTCGGGTAAAAGGATCCTCTAGCTGTCAAAGTGACGAAGTAGCTTGGAATTGCCCAAAGCCAATAACGGTTTTTTGCCTTTTACCTCCAGTTTAATGAAATGATTTGCATTTACACTCTTTGTTCAAATATAGATGTGGAAATGCCTCTATATGTCATTAGGTACATAGGGAACACTTTCATCAAAGGCCAGTTTTACTAATTAGCTATCAAATTGTTTATAACCCACTTATGTCAGCAAGTGAAAATGAGGACACAAAGTACACAGTGCCCTGGGTTGATATCGGTGGGCATTTTGGCTATCCATCACTTGTAAGTCTCTGTCCTGTCTCAACTCATTTACCAGCAAGTATCAAATGGCATTATATACCTTTAATAAAAAAATTTAAAAAAATCCAAACTAAAAAAATTCAAACAAAGAAATCCAAATCCATATAAATAAAAAATCAATTGTGCAATATCTCTCTGTTCAGGTTCGTGTGGACCATGCCAAGCAGTGCCTGGTCTTTGGTTCGGACCTGTCCTCGTCCCAGTACGAGCTCCAGGAGCCTGAGGGCCCTCACATCCAGGACATGCCCTCGCAGCAGATCCGTCACCAGCTCACCCAGATGTCCAGCGCCCTGGTCAAGGCCATGCGTCTCATCGACCATGAGAAGATTGAGGTAGGCCACCGAGTTCTAACTGGTTTTTATCTGGTTTTAAGTGGTTTTGACTGCTTTCCACTGTTTCTTGGGAAATTCATGTGTTGTACTGATCTGTAATTAGATTTATAAAATAATGTAAAAATTAGAATTTTGCTACTTAATTTTTATCATGCTCTTTCTGTTCTTTCGGTCTCTCTCTGTCCTATCTCTCTCTGCTTCATCATTTTTTTCTTCTCAACATTTTATTTTAAAGATGTCAATTCATATCTGCAGGAAGAAATTAAGTCAATTCTAGTGCACATGTAGGTAAGGGCAGTTTGAATCTCTTGGTTTGAGAAAATCTGTGAGTGTATATGATGTTAACCAAAGTAGTGGAACCTTCTGAGTACTTCATGAGGAAAACACTTGCCCTCTCTGATACACTCCAGATTTTTGCCTTTTCACTAATGATCATATTATTTTTGCAAATCCCGCTAAAGCTTGGAAAAGATAAAATATCTGGTGAAATGGTCCTCTAGGTGTTAAAGTGACTAAGAAACTTGGAATTGCCCAATGCCATATGTTTATCAGATCAGATAATCAGTAATGAGATTTGTAGAATAATGTAAAAATTAGAATAACAAAATTAGGTCACATATTTTGTTAAAAAATAGAAAAATGTATTTGTTCACTTATGTTTTCTTGGTAAATTTGGCATAGGACTCTCTTTTAGTATGCCTCCTGTCATTTTGAATTTTGAAAAACCACATTATGTTGGATGTTTTACCTTCTAAATGTTGCATTCTTAATGTCTCGCATGTCCACAGGAGGATCAGGTGACCCGTAAGCACCAGGTCATCCAGAACTACCAGCGTACCGCCCGCAAGGACCATGAAGCCATCCTGATCAGGAGGCAGATCATTGAGGATAGAAAGGAGAGATTAGAGAACCTTACTGTCCAGAGGGTGAGTTCTACAAGGTCTTTGTTTGTTTGTTTGTTTTATTTATTCACCTTGTAAAATAATTATTAACAGATAATAAAATTCAGTGGGTTACATTGAGATGTAATACATAGTAGGAACAGTGCATACACAAAAAATGTTTGAAGCGCAACGTCCCTAAGATAACGTGTCTGAGAATTGTGAGGTTGAGATAGAACATGGCTTAAAATAAGACATTCTGACGTTAAAAAAAATAGTAACAAAATACAAAATAAATGTTTAAATCAAAATCATGCTTTGCGAAGTCTGTGAGTGTATATGATGTTAACCAAAGTAGTGGAACCTCTGAGTACTTCATGAGGAAAACACTTGCCCTCTCTGATACACTTCAGATTTTTGCCTCTTCCCTCCACAGTTTAAAATTTTAGAGGGATTAGCACATATCCAGTGTTTTTGTCTGGGTGTTGTATTTCACAAATTGATCTGCAATGGCCTTTATATGCTCACTACTATGAACTGGCTTTTTGCTTTGATCTTGTCAAGCATGTTATTACATCCATTGGAAAATGCAAACCACTAACCAGTATCCACTCCTCTGTGATTGATTTGCAATGTTTAGTAACAAATATATTCCATATTTTTTATTATAAAAAAAGGGTCAACCTTTATATAAGGATTATGTTTCCTTTCATGTTGCAATCTATTCAGTTAATTTTATGTCCTTGTCAAATACCAAAAGGGTATGAAACAATGAAACGGATGGCTCAAGACCGAGGAACTTGGAGAGACATTTGATATAGAATTTTGATTGGGTCACTGAACCTGTCATAAACTGACAGATCACTATCGATGGTGTCAAATATGTTCTTAATGTGTATTTTATGTTATATAGCTGATTGTTATATGAAATGTTGTCTTTTTAAATGAATGAAATAAAATTGAATTGAATTGAATTGAATTGAATCGATTTGATTTGACTTACAGGAGCGTGCCGAGCAGGACATCATCGAGGAGCAGCAGCGAGCCCAGCGCAACGCCGAGCAGCAGCGTCTGGAGCGGGAGGCGACCGAGCGGGCTCGTCGTAAGCAGCAGGAGGACATGGAGGAGATGAAAAGGAAGCATGCCAAGGAACGCATCAATGCCATCAAGTCCTCCAGCATCGCATCTAGGGTCTTCTCCATGTACGAGATGGAGGTGAGTGGAAATTGGATATTTAAGATTGTGTGGTGATGGATGGATGAGGACAGTATAAAAGATAAAGACCAGTTATGGTCATGCAATTGCATTGTGAAAGAAATGTTGTGGAATCAATCAGATAATGTTGATCATCTAGCATATAAGTATTGGTTTTGACTGCAAGGTTCTGGAATCATCAAAATGATAAGAAATTTGGCCCAGTCTTGGTAAATTTACAAGCACTGTACACAGAAAGATGTATATGGGACTACGCACATGTGCGTTAGATCTATCAGGTCCAAATAGATATAATCATTTACCAAATATATCAATTAGTAGGCGGTTTCTCGGCAAAATTTATATCATCATGTATTAGTCAAAACATTCTTTCACATGATTGGTAATAAGAGCTTCCATTGCATTTTTTGAGAGGGGGCTTTTCCAAAACTGGTCTTTACCTTTAATATAATGATTATGATGATGATTATGATAAGATTGATGATGAGGACGAGGGTAATTGCAACGTATTGTGACAGTGATAAAAAGGACATTGATGATTGGTGATGATTATGATCAGGGTGATCAAGTAGTGGTGGTGATGGTGGTGGTGATCTGTGAGTGTATATGATGTTAACCAAACTAGTGGAACCTCTGAGTACTTCATGAGGAAAACACTTGCCCTCTCTGATACACTCCAGATCTTTGCCTTTTCCCTGGTGATTGTATCATATATGATGACAATGATAGGGAGGTGATGGTGTGGATGGTGATGATCTTTGGTGATGTTGTTGGTGAATATGACCATGTGGGAATAATGGTGATGGTGATGAGGGGTAATGTACTTAAAGATGATGGTGGTGGTGGTGGTGTTGTTGTTCTTGAAATTGGTGATGGTAAAAATGATGAAGATGGTGATGTCTTTTATCTTATACTGTCCCAAAGCTTGTGGCAGTGCAGTGGTATGCTGATGATCCTGTAGGTCTGGACTCTGGAGTTAATGTTTTATTTCCTCTTCTATCCCATTTTAGGAATTGGAGAAGCTTGATGCTGATCAGATCATGCAGAGGCATGTAGAGCAGCTCGAAGCTGAAAAGAAGGAACTGCAGACCAAGCTCAAGTCTCAGGAGAAGAAGGTAAATATTCCCAACCCCTACATTTCTCTCTCTTTCACTTCTCTGCCAATAGTATTTCTATCTGCCTTCCTATATCCATATACCTCCTTTTATTTTCTATCCTTTGTACATGTTCTCAGACTTATTTCTTTGCATTTGACGATTTCTCATTTTATCATGCTTTTTCTGTTGTTCTTGTGGTTTCTTTCTCTCCTTCTCTCTCTTTCTCTATCTCCTCCTCTCTCTCTGCCTCATCCCTTTTTTTCTTGTAAACTTGTTATTTTATAGATGTCAATTCGCTCTTGTTATTGGAGGATGCATCTTTCTGTCACAATCTGTCGTCACCATTTTTCCTCGTATTTCCTTGACTTATCCCAGTCCATTTTTGGCCTTTTTCAGCATTTGTATATCATATTAAGTGGATCACAACCTTATGACCTTTTGCATATATGGTCTGCAATACTGCTCAACAACTATTTTACCTTTGATACATCCCTGCAAAATGGATTTTAGTATGCATAAAGCAAAAAAGAAATGAGTGTTATATTATATATAAATATCTGAAGAAGAAATTATGTCAATTCTAGTGCTCATGTAGGTAAGGGCAGATTGAATCTCTTGGTTTGAGAAAATCTGTGAGTGTATATGATGTTAACCAAAACTAGTGGAACCTTCTGAGTACTTCATGAGGAAAACACTTGCCCTCTCTGATACACTCCAGATTTTTGCCTTTTCCTGATGTTCTTGTTATTTTTGCAAATGGCACTAGAGCTTGGATAAGATAAAATATCGGGTAAAATGATCCTCTAGGTGTCATAGTGACTAAGTAGCTTGGAATTGCCCATTTTCATATGTTCGTCTTATTACTTTTTGTCACAGGTTGATTACCTTGCCCGAGCCAAGCGTATTGAAGAGATCCCACTTCTTGAGGAGGTCGCTTCGGATCTGACCGTGAAAGATCGTGAGCTGTGGGACCAACTTGAAGAGGAAAGGGTAAGTGAGCTTGTCTACCGTGACTGGTAGTATACCTGCCAACCCTTCCAAATAATCTGGAATATTCTGTTTTTCTGGATTTTAAGGACCCCAAAATCTGAAGTAATCCGGATTTTCACAATTTCGATTTTGTGTGTGTGTGTGTGTGTGTGTGTGTTGCTTAAGCCAAATTAAGCTTGTTTTATCATATGCCGCAATGTGAGAGTTCATGTATTGCGTGCGTTGAAGGGCTGCATGATTGAGCAGCGAATTTGTATTCGCTTTTTTGCACAGATTCACTGCGTATTGCCAGTTACACTGCCGCTGCGTGTGCGAACGCCTGTTAAGAGTACAGATTTCTTATTTTCGAAGACATACCGTGCTAAAAATTCTTAATTCTTATTTTCAAATGTTGGCAGGTATGTGGTAGTGTTTATCCCTTGTCCAATAGTCCATTTTCATAACTAACCAAATTCAACGGACATGTCTCTGAGAAGTTCCTTGATGCAAATGATTTCATGCACCTGTTGCGAATAATTGTATTTCAAACTTCAGAATGCAAATTGCATACATGGAAGAAATTAAGTCAATTATAGTGCACATGTAGGTAAGGGCAGTTTCAATCTCTTGGTTTGAGAAAATCTGTGAGTAAATATGATGTTAACCAAAACTAGTGGAACCTTCTGAGTACTTCATGAGGAAAACACTTGCCCTCTCTGATACACTCCAGATTTTTGCTCTTTCCCTGATGATTGTATAATTTTTTTGCAAATCCCACTAAAGCTTAGATGAGATAAATGTTGGGTAAAATGATCCTCTAGCTGTCAAAGTGATGAAGTAGCTTGGAATTGCCCAAAGCCAATAAAGGGTTTTGCCTTTCCTCTTCAGTTAAAGGTAAAGACCAGTTATGGTCATGGGATTGCATTGTGAAAGAAACGTTGTGGAATCGATCAGAAAAGGTTGATCATCTAGCATCTAGCATCTGCAAGGTTCTGGAATCATCAAAATGATAAGAAATTTGGCCCATTCTTCGTAAAGTTACAAGCACTATACACAGAAAGATGTATATGGGACTACCCTATATCTCTCACAGACCATGAGAGAAACAAATTTACCAAATATATGAATTTGTAGGCGGTTTCCCGGCCAATTTTTTATCATCATGTATTAGTCAAGACATATTCTTTCACATGATTATAGTGAGAGCTTCCATTTCATTTTTTGAAATTGGGGCGTTTCCAATACTGGTCTTTACCTTTAAATGAAATAATTTGTATCAAGGCACTTTACAAGGACGTATGCATTAGATTTGGTTAGATTACATCACAAAAATTGCCTATATGTTCCATGACATTCTTTGTGGCTATTGCTTGTGGTCAATTTCTTTATCAAACGTATTCCAAATTTTTAAAATCATTGACCTGACAATACATCCAATGCCAATGCAACCCTAAAATCCTATTGCAGTCCTAACCCAAACCCTTTATCTTTGACAAAATGAAACTGGATCAGATGTTGCTAGGCAAAATGTTAGGTCAACTTCTCAGGCATCTGTTTCATTATATTCTCCATCTTACTCACCATAAACAAGTATTGTGAAGTAAATCCGCGATGAGACCGTTAATAAGGAGTGTTTGAACAGCGTCAGGATGCAGATTATTAACGCATTCTCCTTTGAAACAGTTTTCACAGATGCATTGTGTTAGGATTGAAGGTATAGACCAGTTCTGGTCATGCGATTGCATTGTGAAAGAAACGTGGAATCGATCAGAAAAGGTTGATTGTATCTAGCATATAAGTATTGGTGTGTACTGCAAGGTTCTGGAATCGATCAAAATGATAATAAATTTGGCCCAATCTTGGTAAAGTTAGAAGCACTGCACACAGAAAGATGTATATGGGGCTACACGATATCTATCCAGTCCGGATAGATATAATTATTTACCAAATATATCAATTAGTAGGCAGTTTCCCAGAAAATTTTGTATTGTCACATGAGGGTCTAAACATATTCTTGCACATGATTGGTAATAAGAGCTTCCATTTCATTTTTTGAGGGGGGCGTGTCCAAAACCGGTCTATACCTTTAATCCAAATCCCTCCCTATGTGTCGTGACAGGTCAAGCAGCTGCAGAAGGAGCGTGAGCAGGCCTTGGTCACCAAGCATCGTTTACTACGCGTCAATGACGAACGAGAGAGCTTCCTTGACATGCTCAGGCAGACTCGACTCAACCTTTATCAGGTAAGCCCTTTGTGACTTGGGGGGTGTTTCACAAAGATCCTAAGTTGAACTTATCTCTAAGTTGGACTTAAAATTCATGGAAAGCCATTAGCATCTATGAAAATATTTTGTAAATGTTATTTCAAAAGGCATAGAATGTTGATTCAAATCTTTCATATTTTCTATTATCATGGGAGATTTCATGTTCTTGATGTGGAATTTATGAAAAATCTAAAATACTTGAATTTTCGCTTTTGAATATATTTAATTTTAAGGCTACAAATGGCTCTCCATAATTTTTAAGTCCAACTTTGAGTTAAGTTAAACTTAGGATCTTTGTGAAACACCCCCAAAGGCATCTAGCCGTGATCAGTACCTTGACAGATATATGGACAGATGGATTATATCACCAAAGCCAATTAAGTTCCCCATATCCAAACAGGATCAGGCGGATAGGCACCGATGAGAAAGATCATTGGCTTTTGAGATAGTTTTGGTGGAGAATGCTGAGAATATTGTCGGATGGAACACGTAATAAGGCATTTGTTCAAAATCAAAAAGGAGAATAGGCTATCTTGTTTCAAAAGGGAGATCAAAACAAATTTAAGTGTTTTCACCACATTAATAGATTGGACATATTCTGAAGATTATCAGCTGGCCTCCTTATGGGTAGCAAACTATATATTCTTTACATCTGAGATATGAGTTCTGATAGTTCATGAACCCAGAAATTAAGTCAATTCTAGTGCACATGTAGGTAAAGGTGGTTTGAATCTCTTGGTTTGAGAAAATCTGTGAGTGTATATGATGTTAACCAAAGTAGTGGAACCTTCTGAGTACTTCATGAGGAAAACACTTGCCCTCTCTGATACACTCCAGATTTTTTGCCTCTCCCCTCCACAGTTTAAACTTTTCGAGGGATTTCTAAGGAACGGTTATCTTACATGCTCACTTGCGCAACTGGGTGACAAAAATACAAGGTAGTGGTGAGAAATAAAGATCTGCTCAACTCCAAAAGGGCTCTGGAAAATGGCTTTTAAGCTATGGTTTTGGAGGAGAATGCTGATAATATTGTTGGATGGAATGTAATAACACTAAGAAACTTGTTCAAAATCAAATCGTAGAATAGGCTACCCTGTTTCAAAAGGTAGATCAAAACAAATTTTGAGTGCTTTCTCCACATTTATAGATTGAACATTTTCAAAAGATTATCATCTGCAAGTAAAAAGGCTGTATTGAGCTATAATTTTCAATGGCTAAACCGGCCTTCTTGCAGGTAGTATTCTTTACATCTGTGAAATGAGTTCTGATAGTCCATGAACCCAGAGATCACGACTCTTTGTTTGTTTCTTGTGGACGCCTGCAGGAGAAGCTGGCTGCCTTCCAGGAGAAAGTGAAGGAGGAGCGAGCCAAACGCCTGCTGGAGCGCAAGGTCAAACGGAAGGAGGACCGTCGAACCAAGTGGTTGAAGGAGAAGGCCGAGGAGGAGCAGCAACGCAAGGATGAGGAAGCAAAGAGAGGTGGGTTTTTTCCCGATTTTTTTTTTTTTTCTTCCCGATTTCCCCCCTATTTTCCCTATTTTCCCCTTTTTTCCCTTTTTTCCCCTGATTTTTCCCGCTTTCTGTACTTAAAAGGGGGGAATGTTGTTAGATTTTTTTTCATTTTTGTCTCGCCTGCGTAGCAAAAAGCGAGACATAGGCGCCGCTTTTCCGGTGACGGCGGCGGCGACGGCGACGGCGACGGCGACGGCGTCAACATCAAAAACTTAACCTAAGGTTAAGTTTTTGAATTTTTGGTATAATTTTTAAAGTATAAGTTCTTAGTCAATTAAACTTTGACTATAGGGTAATCAAGTATCCCCAATCATGTGAGTAGAATTTCAGATCACAAAGTTATAATTTTGAAAGTATAAGTTCTTAGTCAATGAAACTTGGACTATAGGGTTATCAAGTCTCCCTAATCATGTGAGTAGAATTTCAGGTCACTAAGTTAAGGTCAAAGGCCATTTAAGGTCAACAAACTTAGACTTTGTTGTGGCATCAACATTAAGATTTTCAAAATGCTTCTTCTTCGTTATTTTTCAACCGATTTTGATTCTGATTGTTTCATATGATAGGGCTAGGAGGGAATTTAAAATTTCTACACAGAATCGTGAAATTCATTATCTATGCTAATTTATGCAAATTTATTCGAAATCACAAAAAAGGCTTCTTCTCCTTCATTTCTCGACCGATTTTGATTTGGTTTGCTTTATATCGTAGAGCTAACTTTGGTACACTAAACTTCTACACAGAATTTCGAAATTGTTCTCCATTAATTAATTATGGTAATTTATGCAAATTTATTCCAAAAATAACAAAAATTGCTTCTTTTCCCTCATTTCTTGACCGATTTTGCCTTATCTGGTAGAGCTAAATTTGGAACAATAAACTTCTACACAGAATTGTGAGATTTTGCTCCATTGATTATTTATGGTACTTTATGCAAATGAAATGAAATTATGTCCCTTCCAGGGCATCAAATTTCTATTTTTTGACCAGTTCAAAAGTGTACCACATAAAATTTACGATATTTGTTGTTGTGAGATGCGGATGAGCGCTACGTCATTGACGTTCTGGTTTATCATATTGAATTGCGTTATGCAGGCGAGACCGCCGAGAGCGTTTCCCTTGTTCATTTTTTACTTTCACCCCTTGGTGGGTGTCATGAGCTGGTACAGTGAAATCTGTCCCTAAACAAGATTCCAAGCTATTCTCAAAATTAGGCAAAACTTGGAAGGCGGGTTTCCTCTTTATCCAGTCTGAGAAGTCGTGGACATTTATATTTCTGTAACTTGCAGCGTATCTCTCAAATAGGCATAGGATTAGGAATCAATGTTTAGATTAGGGTTAACATGAACTTTTTGATATTTCAAATAATGTAACAAACCTCAGTGGAGGTTAAGCAAGTAGCAACGAACAACAAGAATGTGCAAGTTTTTATTGCGCAACAAGAATGTGCAACAGGCCAAAATGCTCAACATTGCCTGTAAAGTGTATTCAGTGTACAGTGCATGCACTGTTTGTATAAAGACCAATTCTGCATGTATGCCCTGCACTACTGCTCTAGACCTATTTTTCCTTTGGATATATCCCTGCAAAATGGATTTCAGTATGGATATTGCAAAAAGAAGTGAGTGTTATTTCAAAATATTTACTTGGAGAATTAAGTCAATTCTAGTACAAATGGCAGTTTGAATATCTTGGTTTTAGTAAGCAAAATCTTTGAGTGTATATGATGTTAACCAAAGTAGTGGAACCTTCTGAGTACTTCCTGAAGAAAACACTTGCCCTCTCTGATACACTCAAGATTTATTGCCTCTTCCCTCCACAGTTTAAAATTTTAGAGGGATTTCTAAGGAACGTTATCTTACTTGCCCACTTGTGCAATGCTAGTGGCCAACCAGGTGAAAAAATACATGGTAGTGGGAGAAATAAAGCTCTGTTAAGCTCTAAAAGCACTCTGAATAACTGGGGGACTAAAAGAGCTTGGCATAAAAAACAATAGTAACACATCATAATTGTCATGCGGAATTCTCACATAAACTGGCGCAAATCCAAAAAGAGGTAAATTGAACAATAAAATATTTTTACAACCAGAACAGTAATAGTATTACATCCTAAATGATTAACTTGTTGTTTACGTGGTTATAGTTCTCTCCAATTATTCATGAATTTAATTTGTTTATTTTTTTTTCCTTGTTGTTTTTGTTGACAGTTCGTGAGCTGGAACAGCAGCAGGCTGAAGCTGAATACCAGGAGCACCTTAAGAAACTCCAGGAGCAGGAGGAAATGAAAATAGCAAGGTTGGTTCTACGATCAATTTAAAATATATCTTCAAAGCCATACTGTACTAGAAGCACTACCTCAGGTCAGCTGTAGGAGTACTAAAAAGTAACTCGCTAACTGCTGGTTCTCGCATCGAGTCCTCTTGAAGTGGAAAATAGGTATCGAGTTACACATTGTAGGCAAGTTGACCATGAGATGGCGCTGTGCAATAAATGGTACGCTAGGGCAGAAAGTTCATCAGTTCAGCATCGCTTTAACATATTTCATGATAATTGTGATAATCTGACTGTTTGAAAGGGAAGGATGTGCAATCATATCTATCCTCACATTTGCCAAATGGAGCAGATGTAAATGTTGGTTATCGAATGTAAGAAACCCCTGTAGATATATACTTCCCTTAGAATTTTGTTTTTTAATGTTAGGGAAAATTTATTCACAATTTTCAAGGAAGTGTCTACCATTTAGAGTATTGAAACCTGTGAGTGTATATGATGTTAACCCAAACTAGTGGAACCTTCTGAGTACTTCATGAGGAAAACACTTGCCCTCTCTGATACACTCCAGATTTTTACTTCTTCCCTCCACAGTTTAAACTTTCAGAGGATCTTTTTTCTCCTTCTATTATCAGGCCTAATAATTACTTGATTTAAATTGGTTTCCCAATTATTTTTTCTTCTTCTTTTTCTTCCTTATTTTATCCAGATTTTGCCCTTCTTTTCCCTATTTCGCCCTATTTTCCCCTATTTCCCCCCAATTTTCTAACTCAAAGCAGGGGGGGGGGGGGGATGTTAGATGCCATTTCTTCCCCCCGAATCCTCTTCTTTCTTTTTTTTTTCACTTAAGGGGGGCGTGAGGGAAAGAAAAAAATATGTATCATGTTTTAGAGATTAGAGGTACATTAGGCAATTGGCATATGAAGTGAGAGGGGTTAGCGGGTATGTATGTGATAGACCCCTGTTAACATGGAGGAAAACTTTAGATCTATATTAACAGGACCACTTTTACAGTTGAGCCCTGAATTACATACATGTATATACAACACAGTCCATTAAGTAGCTGAATAATCAACTAGCATGAGGTATTGTTATAACTGATTATCCTCATCTTTTCCACAGATTAAGGGAAATTGAAGAGAAGCGCATGAAAGATACCAGACCTTCAGAGCCTGAAAGGACTTGGCGTGATGATAAGTAAGTGAACTGCATTGTAAGAGGGTCATGGTGAATAATTAAAGGGTTTTAGTAAGCAAAATCTGTGAGTGTATATGATGTTAACCCAAACTAGTGGAACCTTCTGAGTACTTCATGAGGAAAACACTTGCCCTCTCTGATACATTCAAGTATTTTGCCTCTTAACCCTGTAAATTCAATTTCAGCCTTTAGTTTACATGGGATTGGTGTTAATCAAATTAGTATACATGTTACATTCAAGGGCAAGTACGTTTGATTTAAAGATAAACTTGAGTTCTGGTAAAAAAAGAAAATGAATTCTCACAGAATCTAACGAAACTTACACTGAATGTTCAAGATTACAAATAAATGTCATGTGCCAAACAATTTTGGAAGAAAATGTATACTGGCTGAGTAATGAGCATAGAAAGATAAGGAAATCAGGGTAGTACTAGCCCGACACCATTTGTGTTGTCCCTTATACATCTTTCTGTGTAAGTGATTGTTACTTTAACAAGACTCTGCCAAATTTATGATGATTTTGATGACTCCAGAACCTTGCATTACACACTATTACTTACATGCTATATGATCAACTTTTCTGATCCTTTCAACACCTTTTCTTTCACAATGCAATCGCATTACCAGAACTCAAGTTTATCTTTAATCCCATTTTAAGAGTAAGCTATCCCTGGGGATGTGCCTATTTTACTCCCACATAGGTATTATAATAGCAGCTATGTTGACTCCCAACTTGACTAAGAGTATTGTCTTTATCTGCCTGTCTGTATGAAAGCCTACAATGGTTGAAGGCCATTATTGTTCTTACACCTTGTTCTTTGTCTTTGCTCAGGCCGAAAGAGATATGGCGACCGGTCACTAAGGAAGGAGGCTGGAGGGAACGCGAGAGACAGCGTGAAGAAAGTCGCAGGGAGAGATCTAATCAGGAACCACAAGAGGAAGAGAGGGAAGCTCCTCCCACCCAGGAGCAGCCTGATTCTGAAGAGCGAGTTCAACAACAAGAAGCAGCACCACCAGCACCTGCTCCAGAGAGGGAGGAGAGGAGAATTAAGAGTCGCTTCGTGAGCCGGGACATCCGCTACGAGGAAGGCGGAGAGTTTCACCCAGCGACGAAAGAGCGAGAGGAGAGGCGTGCCAGGGAGGCAGCAGAGGAAGCTACACGTGCTCAACCCTCGAGGGATGAGGGGGAGACTTCAAGGCCTGCCGCCCGAGACACCCGCGTCGATGCACCTGACATCGTCCGTGACAGTGAAAGAAGAGATGACTCCAGTAGGAGCGATAATCGCAGTGCTTGGAGAAAGTCGGAAGGACCACCCAGAGAGATTGAAGGTCGCCCACCTCGCGATTTGGGTCGCCGTGACGAGGGTCCAAGGTCGTTCGGTCGTGATGAGCGGCCACGGGGAGGTTACGGCGGCGGCAGACGGGATGATGGTCCACAACCAAGAGATCTTGGTCCAAGAGATAGCGGTCGTAGGGAGGAGCGCTATGGTGGACAAGATGGCGACGACCGGAGTTGGAGAGGTGGTGGTGGCCAACAAAGAGGTGATGACTCCCAGCAGAGTGCCAGACGCTTAGAGAGGCCTCGCAGGGATGACGATGGAGGAGGAGGAGGAGGAGGAGGATGGAGAAGTGGCCGTGGTGGCGATCGTGGTGGAGATCGTGGCGGGTACGGCGGTGACCGAGGTGGAGATCGTGGTGGAGATCGTGGAGGCTATGGTGGTGATCGTGGCGGTGACCGCTATAGCGACCGTGGGGGCGACCGGTTCGGTGGCGACCGCCGTGGCGATCGCGGTGGTGACCGCGGTGGCGGTGCATGGCGCAACGATGACCGTGGCTCAAGGCCTGAGCCCCGAGGGGAACCCAGAGGACCAAGGGAAATGCAACGTCCGGTGAGGAATGAGGGTGGATCATCAAGGGTAGAAGAGCCAACCTGGCGGGGTCAGGGTGGAGAGAAGGGTGGGGAAAGAGGCGGTAATCAACAACGAGATGAACCCAAGAGAGAAGATGATGGATGGACCACTGTCAGCAAGCGTTAGATAGTTAAATTTATGAAAACCCCAAGTTCTAACTTGTTATTTGGTAGTTATTTGGTAATAAAGGCCTGCATTTCTTGTTCACCATCATTTGGATCAAATTGATGCTTTTCTTTTCCTTGCATGCATGACAGTATTGTCATCACAATGGCAGTAGCTCTAACAAATTTGACCATTTTTCTTTTGAAAGACAAGTTGGTGTGAAGCACACGTCATTCCTCTAATACATACGTTTGCATGAGACTTGCAAATATTGGTTAAAATAAGGTTTTGTGTTTAATTCTTTTAGTTTATTAAGACTAACTATACCATTTATTTGAGAGGAGATAACTAAAAAGAGAAGATTTTATTTTAACTTACTATTGTACCACACGAATGGCCACCTAGGGTGCTTGATATGGAAAAGTGGAAATTTACTCCTACTTATTTAAACTTCTTACATGAAACTTTTAACTATATCATGTAATATTATTATAGAGTATGGTAACATTCAAATGAAATGCAACTATTGAAGCATCGTCTTGATAGAATTTCCTGTGAGAGTTCCCAAATACTTTACATTCTGTGTTTAGCATGTCTGTTTCCTTTAGAGGCATTATTGCCATTAGTATTATGTATGTTTGAATTTGGAATAGTAAACATAAGATACACTTTGTTGTACAGCAAAGTACATGTACAAATTTGTGTTGAAAAATCAATGAAGATAATGAGATGTCTCCCTCTAGGGGCGTTTTTGTTTGATCCTCCCCTTTATTTGGGTGGGGATGGGTAAGAGCTTTGATTGCATCGTTAGAAATCCTCATCTTTTTCTCATGGGAATTGAAAATCATGGGATTAAAAAGAATCGTTACTCATTTGAATGAAAATGATCAATTGTTGAAAACATAGAATAGTAGAACTGAGAAGCTGTGTCTAACACTATTATTCATATCCATATTCTATTCCCCAATTAATGTTCTTGCATTCTTATTTCAGAGAATTATTTTATCTAAAATTTGTGAATTAACATTTCTGCATACTATCCACCTTAGTTTCTTTGGAATGAAAAAAAAAAAGAAGATGAAATAAATAAAGGATTGTAATCAAATGATTATATCGAATGGAAGTTTCATTTTGTTTGTGTACATGTATATTGAATGTATTTTAAAATGAGAATCGTTCATTAGTTGTTCATGACGGCCATTTATGTAGCCTATCTGATATGCGTCGGGCTTTACAAGTATACCAATCACGTTATGGAGTCTGACATCGGCGAGGGTGCCTGCGCCGATGTCAGACTCCAAAACGTGATTAGTTTATTTGCCATAAAGCCTGACGCATATCAGATAGGCTACCGTTTATGTGGCAAGAAACCTTCCAGTTCGTAGAGAGCACGATAGCACATGTACTGTCCTCCAAATATCCACACATGTTTTAAATATGGAGAAGTCCCACTTTGTGCATTTAAGAATGATCACTGCCAAAGTGATAGAGGTGCTTCATGAATACCTATGTTTGCCCTCATATAAAGAATACTTCCAGCTGTGTATCATAGAATATATCACCTGTAGTGTACATTAATGCTTACATATCTTTCACGATCACTTATCAATTATTCTTCACAGGTTGTACAGTTTTGTACAGGTGACCTGTCATTTGCCCAGATTTGTGCAGATTTTCGAACTGGCTTATTGCAAAATTTCAACGTTTGGAATTCAATTATTTAGGGGGCATGAAGTTTTGCAAATCTCAAGTACATGTGCTTTCAAAATTTGATTTAACACGCAAAGTTTCTCATTTTAAAATTACATGAACTTCATGAAGACATATGACCTGTCTGCTCAAAACCATCATAGAGATGCTGAAATTATGTGTTTTGTCTGTAACTGGAGATCCCAAGATTTTCACTCCGAAGAAAACACTCGTTAAGTTGTACTTTACTCCATTCTAAACCCACTTCAGTATCGTGAAATGAGAGCAATCAATCTGATGGGACGTTGCAAGAAAGTTGCAATCAATTGCAAATCCCAGAATCAAGCGTAAGTCTTGTGATCGCAACTCAACTTTCTTGCAACGCTCCATGAGAGAGAGAGAGAGAGAGAGAGAGAGGGGGGGGGGGGGGGGGGATATAAGCTAGATCTGAGTTAATTTAATTGATAAAACTTTAAAGGCCCACTGCACTACTTGTAGCTACTTGCACCCTCTATATAACAAACAATGCCTGATCAGTGACCTTTGGTACCCCATGATCCTCTTTTTCTTATGTTAACTGAGAGCTGAGTTGATTTGATGAGATAACCACCTGTCCAGTGACCTTGCAGGGCGCTCTAATCCCTCCTGTAAACTATGGCAGATAAGCTTTAATCCTAACAAAATCTTAGGAAAAAGAGGAAAGACGAAGAGAGAGAAAGAGAGAGAGACAAGGGATGGGACGAAATAGTGCGCAACTGCTGATGAGGTAAGAAGGCATCACCATGATGACGTACGCAGTATACGTGAGCTTGCACCAATGTTATGTTAAACAATGTAAAGATATAGAGCGAGAGAGCGAGAGAGCGAGAGAGAGAGATAGATAGAGAGGGGGAGAGAGAGATAGAGAGGGGGGAGAGAGAGATATAAGCTAGATCTTAATTTATGATAAAACTTTAATCCTAACAAAATCTTAGGAAATTTAGGAGACTAGTGGGGCATGGCAAGAGAGTTGAGTTGCAATCAATCGCAACCTTCTTGCAATGCCCCAATAGTCTCTTTAGATTGGATAGGTACCCTTTTCCCAACCCTATGGTTTTGAGCTGTCGGGTAATATTTTCAGAATATTTTGTCACATAATCATCACAGCTAGATATATATATGAGGATTTAACAGCAAACCTCAAATTAGAAGTAAAAACAAATTAGAACACACATTTTGTCAAGTCTTTGACCAACATCAGCATTACCTTCAGAGCCTAACCATACGTTTTATTATAGGATGGATTCAAAATTAACAACACCCCCACCCACAAGCCGTGACAGACCAATTTTTCAGACCTGGTTCTCGGACCTAAATAATCATTTCTGATTGATACACGCCCCCCAAAAGCCAATTACACACACACACACACACACACACCCTCTGACAAAAAAGAAAAAAAAGTTATTGTGGAGGATTGCTCAACTCTATATCCAACCCAGGAACCCAAACATCCATCATTTTAATGACATCTTTCAAGAAATAATTTTGGAGCAAAAGTTGCCAGAGAGTACATGTATGGCAAATCACCTCTCTCATCATATACACATCATAGAACATTTGTAGCATCCACATAAGACACAAAGACAAGCAGGTGACAGGTATACATGAATAATAGTTTTTATTTTTCCATATTGATGAATTACATATTTTTGATGCCACTTGGGTCTCAATCCCACAGCCACACTGCGAAAACTGACTCTAGACCGACGAATAACTGACAATATCATACCAGTCTCTGTTAGTGTAACTAGGTAATGAGCGATAGAGTACCGAAGTGTGACATCATACTGGCCAAGCTGTCAAGGTTGCTGGTTCGAAACGATTTTGTGCTAAACAATTGCAGGGTGATCACACCAGCCCCAAACACTGTATTTGCCCTGCTCCAGGCTCGCTGCTTGAATGATTTCACGCTAAACTGCATTTGCAGGCTCTGTTGTTTGAAACCAGTAGCCCGGACGACGAGCGAATATGACGAGAGCATTTGGGTACTCTATACCACCATGTATTGTAGATTTATATTGATATAAAATCTATATGAATATACCGGTAAAGATGCATTACGATATACATGTACTTCCGGTTTTATTACGTGCATGTCCATACCAATTGGCTCAAAAAATATTGAGATAAATGAAAAGGAAGAATTCCTGCTTTTCAAACTAACCTTCCTTTTACACTTATTACCATTTCATTTGCTGAGTCACTAAATGTCTTTCATCAGTTGGATGTTAAATATAATGGGATAAGACGTAAGAGGGTCTCTTTTTGTCCAAAAAATGGCAGTAAACTGCTATTTGTACCATAATCGTGGCCCACATGGCACCTCTGTGACATTTGCTTTAAAAAGAAAGTGGGCTAAAACATATATAAGAATATATTAATTTGATAGAAATTTAATTTCGGGCTCACGATCAATTGGGCAAAAAGAATTTCCGTTTCGGTTTAATAAAATTAGGAGTGGACTATTAGGCAATTATTATTATTATTATTATTATTATTATTATTATCAATTTTCACAAGACACATAACTAGATAACTCCAGGCCTCGATGATCACTTTTGCAGTTTCATTACAAGAAGTTCAATAACTTGAAATTTTAGAATGTAGATGTCATAAATGGAAAGCACTATTATTCCTATGGAAATGCCCTGAGGCCATAAGCCTGATTTTGGGACCTGGCATAAGAAGTACACATACAAAACAGAAACAAAATTTAGTAATTAACCTGTATTTGTTTTCTACAAAAACATACAGTATAAAGATTTATGTTTAAAAGACTTCTATTTTATAAATCACGCCTGACCATATAGGTGATCTATTATGAGGCTTAGCTTCATGAAAGTTTTCCTTCTTACAGAGTTGACCACATTCATAAATTTGGACAATGAGTGTTTGTTGTATTAAAATTTAACTGTTAAGATGATTTGACCTTGGCATTTAGAAATTAAAAAGTCAACTCTACATAAATTAGACAAATCAATGTCGACTATAAGAAGAGGCAACAGTATTCTTAAATCTATATAGACATGATATCCGCATAGCCATAGAGGTGTACCAAGACCAATCTTCAGAGCTCATGGTCCAACATGATGCAAGACCGATTTAGTCCAGGGCTCCAGGCCTAAGTCCAGTTCTCCTTTTCTGCTGCCGAAGAGGTTTCCGATAGTCTAGTTTACTTTCTTGATATCTCCTCAAGTCTAGAAGCCAAGTTCATTGATCACATTGCATTGTTCCTTTCTTTCTTTCTCTCAGCATCACAACAGGTTAAAGGGCATGTATTAAATTGCTTTGGTGACCCCTACTAAGGCTGGTCTAAGAGTCCTTTCATGTAATTTATATCCTAATTTCTCTACAACGGCGACTGTCCCTGGCTCCTTGTCTGGAACAGGAAGCTCAAAGAGAGCCTCGTGAATGTGGGGGTCAAACTTCTCATTGTTAACAGGGTTTATCACTTCTAGCTTGTTCTTGGCAAATACCTAGGATGGACGGAAAAGAAGGAGAAAAAAAAAATGGTTGTTCGAATTAACACATTTTCAATTTCAATTCAGCCCCTATTCTTTCTTCTTTAAAAGCACTCAAAGTAATTTCCTGATTATCTGTTGTCATGTATGAAGTAACTGGACACAGCACAGGGGCGGTTCCAAGATTTTCCAAAAAGGGGGGGGGGGGGGGGGGGGGGGGGAAGGCATATGTACAAAATTGCGAGAAGCCTTTATGGTGTGGGGTCCGGGGTCAGCTTAAGGGCCCCGGAAACGGTTGCACCTTATTAAAGATGTACTATGGTACATTCTGAGACTTTTCTGAATGCCTAAACTGAACATTTATGTGAATATTTCTTAGCTTTTTTCCTATTTTTTCTTGAAAGGATAACAGTTCTTAACTTCAACCCTGGACCAACACTTTACCTTACCCTAACCCTAAATATATCATATTACCCAATTGCAAATAACACCCAGAGCAATTGTTGCATGAGGGAATTTGGGGTCACGGGTTTCTAAATTGAGCATGAAGGAAGGAAATGAAAAGGAAATGAAAACAGAAGTTTTACAGGTCCCATACCTTCTGTAGTTGTGTCTCTGTCATGACAAGGCCCTCATAGAGGTTCTTGAGGTGAATGTTTGCATCAGCACCACTCACAGCATCCTTTGGAACACTGGTCGTCGCCTTCCCCAGGATATCGGCCACCTCCAGGAGGTCTTTACAGAACCCTGAGATGGAATAGATCTTGGAATCGTTTAGCTGCTTGGTAAACCTCATCCGCACGTTCTCCGTCTCGGCAAGGGCTCGTTTATATTTATCCTGAAAAAGAGAGAGAGAGAGAGAGAGAGGGGGGGGGGGGGGGAAGGGTAGACATAGGGAGAAACCAAAAGTGATAGTATTTAATAAAAAATGAATGAATAAAATCTTTACCAAAAGCTTTACAATGGAACCCTAAGCAAATAAAACTCCAGTCCATGGCCCGTATTCTACTAACATCTCAACCTGAAGCTGGGTTTAAACTTTTTTCCAAATAATAATGTTAATAATTAAAAAACCGTGCTTATAAAGTTCTTACCACCGAGTTTCTAAGTTCTCCTTTGGTAACATGATCTTAGACCCTGGGTCAGTTTTAACTGAATTAGCAGAATGAGACATAACCTGTAAAATATTAACATATATTATATTAACATATTACTGGGAAAAAAAAAGTAGAATACAAATAGATCGGTCTGGTAAATTACAGTTGTTGTCATAAATAAGAGTAAAAAGGGGAGGGAATATATTTGATCTTCTCCCGAAGTCATCTATCATCAACCATAATAGACAAATAATGAGAGTGAAATCCTGTTAGTTCATACATTTTCCTGGTTATAAATGTACTCAAGTTCCTTTGATATAAATCCAAGGGTATGGATTATCTTGCTCTTGCCTCCCCCCCCGCAAAATTATCGATTTGATAAATACCGTAATCTCCATTGTAACTCTCCTAACAATTTCTGGAACAACTTTAGAATACCCCACCACTAAAATCGACAAAACGTTTGTAAGGTACCAAAAACTTCCCCAATGAAGCTAACTCTCTAGACTTAAGCTTTTTAAGTAACACTAAACCTAATCCTAACTCTAACCCTAATCCTAACTCTAACCCTAACCCTAAACCTAATTCTAACCCTAACCCTAGGTCTTTGACATTTATGTACATTTACCCTATAATTGGGGTATTCTAAAGTTAAGCCCCATTTCCCTAAACACAGATACAGTGAGAAAGAATTTACTATGACAAATTAACAACATTCTCCTTACTGTATACTCTGCTACTTGAGCTGTTAGTTTCGCCTTCTCTTCCGTTAGCTTCTGCTCGAGGTCCGTCATCTTCGTCTCCTCCTCAGATTTACTTCCATTTTCCTTGTCAGCTTCTTTGGTTTCTGCGAACAGCGTTCTATAAAAAAAAAAAAAAAAAATGATATTAGAAGGAAGGGGCTTCATCTGGTTTTTTAAAATGTCCCCTTGAAGTCCTGAGCAAATGAACAGTGCATTAATCTTCATTTCATGAAGCCTGCACTTTTTAGGAAGAAGAAGAACTGGTGCCACACATATAACTTTAGCTTACATCTAGATCTAGCGCATGCAAATTACGTTCATCTGGTCTCAGCCTCATTTTCCTAAATTGGCACCTACAGGAGCTCTTCTGACATGTCTGAGTGGCTATCACTGGCTGTTATTTGCTTAACATTATAAGATATTAGTGTGAATAGAAAGCTTGCAATTTTCTGTTTGATCTGATACCAAAATCATGATATAATGAAGGGGACTCCGGATCACGATAAAGTCCATTCTGCCACGACCAAATCCCGCTTCAGATGTAGATCTATAGTCAAGCCTTTTATTAGCCGGGTGCCGGGGAAAATGAATACCGGGCGCCGGTCATTTTTTATTTCTGGCGCCCGGTCTGGGAGAATGAACATTTTCTGTTTCATAAACTTCCACATGTCTAGCACTAAATGTTCACAAATGTGACAAAAACTTACTTGATATGAGTTAAACGTGGACTGAATGAACCCTAACAAATTATTTTATAATGAGAATCCTAATTAAAATCGCCCAGAAACAATTGCAGCACGAATACGAGCGGCGGCTATCTCCTACTCCTAGCGCCACCGCTATGGGGGCTAGCCGCGGCGTGCAGACCGCTAGTGGAGATCGAGAGTGCACGAACACTCTCACTCCGTCTAAAAGTTTGACTGTGCGAACGTGGTTAGCGGCTGGCTGTGAGAACGAGCATACATGTAAATATGCATAGTTTCGCTATTGCTTTGTGTTGGCGATTCCTGCAGCATGCACTCATGTACATTGCACACAATACAGGGGATGTACACCACTCAAAGACGAGCGCATTTCCCCAGGCCATGCATACACACACAAATGGCATATATCAGTGCACTGCACTACACACACAGTGTCACTGTCAGTACAAGAAAGTCCCGATGTAACTTCCAAAAATCCATCCCAAAACCCAAATTTTGCTGTCAAAAGTGCGGAATCGGAGCCATATTTCCAAAGCTCACAGAGGTTTAGCCCAGTTTTAAGAAACAGCTTCACCAAAAAAGCACTAAAAATCAAGAAATCAGCGATTTTGTTACCAGTGTTTTTACATATCGCATGCCCTACGAATGTGATGGTATTTTCAAAAAGCCAAATGAAAAACAAATATCGGACCTGCTGCTGATGCATATGTACAAAGTTGATTGGAACTCCAGACTTGCCTTGATTCGACCGCAATTAAGCACCAATGGGTGCTGCAACTTCGACATAGAACATCATCGTGTGTTGCACCGCAATTCAGCGCCCCTCGTACTCATTGACTAAAGTTAAGTGATGTTTTAAATAATGGATTTTTCTGATAAAATAGGTAAATATATTTAACAAATCATTTTTTAAAATTTTTTCTAGATCTAATTATTAATTTTTTTTTAAGTGACAGGTCGGCCGCTCTCAATGATTGAATGCGTTTTTATTCAAAGAAACATGAATGCAATAGCATTTATAGGGAAAATCACAAAAAAACGTGAAACAGGCAAAATCTGTTTTTTCACCTAAAATTTGCTTTTTTTAAGCTGAATTATATGTTTTTTGAAAGTGACAGGTTGGCAGCTCTGGATTGTTATTATAGATGGTTTTTCTTAAATATATTTTTTTATGAAAAAAATTTAATTCCCCCCTTCCTAATTTTTTCAATTTTTGACATTTAACGGCATGAAAATAGTATTAAACATGAACTAGACTAGACTACAACAACTACAAATGACAGATTTATCCAAGGTATGAGTGATTTAACATTAGAGTGCTCAAAATTTAAACTAGAAATTAAACTATCGTAGACTCTAGATCTACGTATGAATAAAAGGTAAAAGGTTAACAAATAATTTAAAAGAATACATATTTTCATCAATTTTGAAAACGGCTCCTGGTCCTGGAAAACGGCTCCCGGTTCTCTAAAAAATTTAAGGATCGGGAGCCGCTTTTTCAGATATTTGACTTATTTGACTTAACTCCGTTTCGTTGACAATCAGCCGTAGACGAGAGTCTTCATGCATGGCTGATTGTCAACGAAAGGTAGTTAAGTCTTTTGTCAAATCTGCTTTTTGCTCTGGCAGGCACCCAGTGAAAACAAATTCGTTTGTTAAAATTATGAAAATGTAAGGGCTACTTTAAACAAGCAGAACTTTGTTATTCCTCGCTCATTTTTCCTGATTGAGGTGTCATATGAAAGGGCAGAAACTCAACTTTCTAGTGGTCTTCCATGGGGCCCTGAATGAACATATTTACATCGTTTATAACATTTATACAGAACAGTTACAAAAATAATACTCGTTTGCAAAATAAATATAATCATCAACCTAGTAAACAGTAATGTCAATAGGAAAATATTAATTAAGTCGCAATTATGTGAATAATTCATGTAAATATTACAGAACATGCACGTAGTGTATGTACGGCTGAGCCATTCACAAATTACAACTTTGTTTAAACAATCTCTTAAATGAATTGACAGAGGAAGCCGTTCTCAATGAATTATCTAGCTTATTCCATTCAAATATGGAAGAAACAATTGGGCTACACTTATAACAATCAGTGTGAAATCTAGGCACACGTAAACATCCACTGTCTATTTGCCTTGTATGATGCTCATGTAAATCATTAGGATTGATTAAGCCTACCTGAAGGTAAGAAGGTGCTAAGTTATGAACGCATTTATATATCATCATAACGCGACTTAACTCAAACCGCTTGTCTAGTGTCATCCATTTAAGACTTGTGAACAAATCAGCCGACGGTGTGTCATATGTCTTGTTCAATATTATTCTTGCGGCCCTCTTTTGAATTTTTTGCAGCTTAGTTGTATGAGAATGAAATCGGTTCGACCATACAACAGAGCAGTAATCTAATCGTGGCAACACTAGACTGTTATAAAGTGACTTTAAGGATTTTTGAGGCAAAAAACTTTTTGCTCTCTTTATCATGCTAATGTTTTTCTGGGTAAGTTTACTTACGTTTTCGATTTGTTTAGACCATTTCAATTCTTCATCTATCAAAAGTCCTAAGCATTTGGTGAATTGAACTCTTTTGATCAAATTGCCGTTTAATGAAATGGTAAAAGATTCAATTTTCTTGAGATTAGCAGGAGAGCCTATTAACATGACACAAGTTTTTTCAGTGTTAAGAACAAGACGATTTTCCTTAATCCATGCCATGACTCTGTTTAACGCAACAGTTAATTTTTCTTCCACAACAGTTGCATCATTTGCACTGACGGTAAGTGTCGTATCGTCAGCATACATATCTATGATACCTTCAGGAGTACATTCAGGTAGACTATTAACATATATTGAAAATAAAAGGGGACCAAGAATTGAACCTTGTGGCACACCTAATTTGATGGTTGATGGATGCGACTTGGCTCCTTTGAATTGGGTCACTTGTTGTCGATCCCCTAAATATGATTTGAACCAATAAATAGTCCTATTACTACAACCTATACAAGCTAGTTTATGTAGAAGTAGCTCATGGTCAACAGTATCAAAAGCCTTAAGCCCCAGTCCCATATAAAGCCGGACCAGCACGGACGAGCACGGACCACTCCGGACCATCCCGGACCATGGTCTGGGGTGATCCGGGATGGTCCGGGATGTTTTGTTCAAAAAAAGTGTGATGCTTTTAAGCTACAGTCCCATATATGTCCCGGACCCTCCCGGACCATCCCGGACCCCATCCGGGGTGATCCGGGATTCGGTCCGTGTTGACACCGTGTTGGCACCGGGGTGGTCCTGGATGGTCCTGGATGGTCCTTGGCGGTCAATAACTCACTCCCGGACTGCCACGGATCAACACGGACCGCCCCGGCGCCACTACGGATGACCCCGGACCCAGCACGGTGGCTACACGGATCACCCCGGATCAAACTATTGTCCCGGACCGTCCCGGACCACCCCGGCAGTTTTTGACCGTCAAAAACATCCGGGGTCGACTCCCGGACCGCCCAGGACCATCCAGGACCATCCAGGACCATCCAGGACCATCCAGGACCACCCCGGTGCCAACACGGTGTCAACACGGACCGAATCCCGGATCACCCCGGATGGGGTCCGGGATGGTCCGGGACGGTCCGGGACGTATATGGGACTGCAGCTTTACGAAGATCTATGAAGGCAACTCCAGAAATTTGTTTGTTATCAATATTCAACGACCATTGATTTACAAGTTTTGCAAGGGCAGTAGCTGTTGAATGTTTAGGTCTAAATCCAGACTGATTAGGGTGTAATAATTGATTCACATCCAAGAATTCACTGAGTTGTTGGTGGACGGCCCTTTCTATAATTTTACTCACGATAGGTAATATTGAAATGGGGCGGTAATTATTCAAAGAAGAAATATCTCCAGATTTGAATATTGGTACTACCCGAGCCTTTTTCCATTCACGTGGAACAACTCCTGTAGACAGGGATTTGTTAATGATATCACAAAGAGACTCTGCGATAACATTCTTCGTCATCTTTAAAAGTTTACAGCTGATGTGATCTTCACCAGTTGCTTTATCTATACTCAGATTATCAATCTGTTTCAATACAAAATCCTCAGTAATCAAATTCAAATTAAATTGCGAATGAGTTGGACCAATATTATTGTCCTCGTCTACTCTCAGTTGAGACTTATTCCTTCGCAGGTCCTTTGTAATCTTAGTAGCATTAGAAATGAAAAAGTCATTAAAAGCTTCAGCAATATTTGCATTGTCTGACACATTAGCACCATCAACATTTATGCTATTGGGAGATTTAGGTAATGACTTAGGCACCAGGTTTCTCAAACATCTCCACATTTGCTTACTATTGTTATGATTTTGCGAGATCTGGTCTGCATTATATTCTCTTTTTCTTTTCCTCATGAGATGAATAACTGTATTCTTTAGATATTTGTAGGTGTCCCAAAGATCATCACTTTTGTTAGCTTTAGCAGCTTTGAGAACTTTATCCCGTTCCGTCATAAGCTTAACAATCTCGTCAGATATCCATGGACATGCCTTTTTTCTTATCCGCTTTTTACATACTGGTATGTGCTTGTTGATTATATTATTGAATAGAGTCAACCACATATCCCACGCAACATCAACATTATCTATATCTTTTATGACCTGCCAAGGAGTACTTCTCAATTCATTATAAAATTTCTCCTCATCAAGATTTTTAAACGAGCGAAATTCTGCGTATTCAGATTTGTTATGGATCTTTGCACTAAAATCGCGAACCGTATACACCAAATAATGATCACTTATGCTAGTTTCAAATATTCCCCATTCATTGTAAAGTTCCTTGTATGATACAAATATCAAATCAATTAAAGTAGAAGAGGTATTTGTAACTCTTGTGGCAGTATCAATTAGCTGACTTAGCCCGTACATATTTGTATAAAACATTAACTTTTCAGCATTCAGATGAAGTTGGTGTGGCATACAATCACAATTGAAATCACCTAAAATAATACAGCTCATATCTTCCGAGAGAGCAGAGTCCAAAGTTTCGTCTAATTCTTCAAAGAAATCAACGTGAGAATTTGGAGGTCTGTAAAACTCTCCAACCAGGATGGGAGACTTATTTGGATAATGCAATTCAAACCAAAGGCATTCTAAGGTAGATGAAATCAAATCATCCCTTCTTTTATAATTGAACCTCTTGGATATATATACAGCCACACCACCACCATGTCTCGTACGGTCTCTACGTAATAAAATATAATCATCTATATACAATTCAGAATCATTAATCATGGAGTAGCAAAATGTTTCATTTAAACCAATATCATCAAATGATGCATTTCTCAGAAGTAATCTAAGTTCGTCAATCTTAGCAACTAAGCTATGAATATTCAAATGGGCAAATTTTAAGCCCCTGTTTCTAAACGGAGGAACTGAACCACCTTCCAACTGTTTAATGTTACTCTTATTCAGTTCATGAGATTGATCCTGAAGATTATGATGTAGTATGCCAGTATCAGAGACAGAGTTTAACAGCATGTTGCCATGACAAGACGTAGATGCTCGTCCCACCCCTGTTGAGCTTTTGATTGGTATTACTTCGGCACATGTATGCGATAATCGGCATTGTGCGGGCATTCGGAACATGCCATCTGCGTAAGAGCCGTATTCTGTTGGTGTCAATAGGCAGCTAGCACCGTCCGCCAGCGGATACGTATTTTGAACGCCCTCTGGAATACGGGGAACATGCCCCTTTAAGTTATGATAAAACATTGATACTTCTCGGTTTCGTTTTTTCTGGGACGCACTGTATAATTATAGATCTAGTTGTCAATGAATTATGGCATGCTCCTCCCGTTATAGCCCTTATTAGTCGCCTAGCCTAGCTCTTGCATGACGCTTGCACATGTTTTCCAGCCATGTGTATTGTGTAGTGCCAGTGCAGTGCAGTGCCAGTCTAGTCAGTAGTGGTGCAGTGCCAGTGGTGGCGCGGCAAGCTTATGCAACATCGGACAGTGTTTGCGAATGCGAGTTCGGACGTAGGTAACGTATTCAAATTTAAATAGGGTCTACACCATTTCAATGTCTCTCTCGTAATTTAGTCTTCTTAAAAATATGACCGAATATCAATAACATGAACATTGCTTGAAAGTTACCTTGTGGAACTTAACTGACGCCGGCAAACGACGTTAAGCAATGAAACAGGTAGATTTAGACTGCGAGCTCGGAGTCCCATGGTGGCTGCCATTTTGTAACACGTGAGATGGAACTACTTTTTGAAAGTACTCTCTGCGCGGATTAATAACACAAAGACATTGTTATGTTATTCGTCCCTTTTGCTGAACAACGTCGTTTAAGTGAGAAATGCCAGATTACCAATTTAACAGATGATAAGGAATAAAACTAAGTTTTTTTAACGTTTGTATAAAAAGCATGGATTGAAGTAAATATTCACACGGTTGTACACCCATGTACTATTTCATTTACTGCAACCAGTATATATACAACAACTAAAAATACTTTGAGGATATGACTACCAAGAATAAGTTTTTGCTCAGCTATGATCCTCATTGAAAAGTAAAGGTTTGGTTATTGATTTAAAAAGTCTTATCTTATTTCAACTAAAGCTTGATGCACAACCAGTAAAACTTACTAGCACGTCACATTTTAAAGAAAATGGCTGCGCCCATGAAATGCTGAATGGCATTACATCGTGCCCAGAATATCTTCATTTGCTCTTGTCAGGGGCGGCGATTTCTTTTCAGGGACCGCATGCAGGTCACTTATGGGGTCCACAGGGGCGGAGCTTCCAGAAGCTCAGGGATTTTAGGCATTACGATTGGATGAGCATCAAGGGGCCGCCTTAGGGCCCTTGGTGGGGTCCAGGGGGCAGGGCACCCGGAAGGTCAGGGAAAAATCATGCCAATTCTACAACATTTGTAAATCACTGGTATCGAATAAGAAATAAACCTCGTTTGAATATCATTTGGGGGGTGGGGGGGGGGGGGGGGTCGTCCCCACCTCAAAATTTGAAAAAGTGCAAAGCGCATACTATTCTTCAAAATGTATAAGTAGATTACCGCGAAAAGTGAAGTGTGAAAAAAGTTTATTGCTTGTTTTTATACTATAGTTTTGCTAAGGAATGTATTTTTTTAATACAATCAAAACTTCAAAAACCTGTGAAAGGGTAGTCTCTTCCGTCACCTTCACCCCTCTCATTCACTATGCTCCCTCGCACTTGCGTATTGATGGGGAGGGGGGGGGGGGGAGCTTGGGGGAAGTTCCCCCTCAAAAAAATAAATTCAAACGTGGTTTATTTCTAATTCGATACCAGTGATTTACAAATGTTGCTGACATGGCATTTTCCCCTGAGCTTCCGGGGGCTCTGCCTCCTGGACAATGCATTAAGGCGGTCCCTGGATGCTCATCTAATCGTAACTAAATGCCTAAAACCCCTGAGCTTCTGGGGGCTCCGCCCCTGGACCCCACTCCAATTAGTGACCTGCATGTCAGTGCAAATCACAAATAAGGTATCTGTGTAATATGTGTGTAATTGGTTTTTTACAGACGTGTATCAATCAGATATGATTATTTACGTCTGGGGACCGACCTTTAACGTCACCATCCGAAAGACGTGACTCAGTTTCGAACCTACGTCCTCGGCTGAATCAGTATGTAACTTCCACTGTTAGCTGGATTACAGGCGCACGCCACAACGCCTATCAAAATATGCTCATCTAACCTTAATTAAACGCCTACAACCCCTGAGTTTCATGGGGCTCCAAGGGGAGGGGGGGGAATGGGGAGTTTTAGGGGGGGGGGTTTACACACAAAAGCACAGGTAAAAAGAAAGGATGGTAAATTAATTTAACCTTTTTAATTTAAACAAAAAATAAAAATGCCCCCCCCCCTGGCCCAAAAAGAAGTAAATAATGTTTTTTTGCTCAAGGGGGGGGGGGGGGGGGTGGTGAGAAAAAAGGAGTGTTTGCTCCCCCCCCCCCCCCGTTGAGCCCAGAACAAAATTGCGCTTACCCGCCGCCCCCCTCCTCTTTGCCGCCAGCTAGATCCACTCCTGGTTGCGCCCCAGCTTTTCTTTTGCTTGTAAGAATCCCAACCCCCCTCTCTTTAAAGCCCCAAACACCCTCGACCAATATAAAACCGCTATTGTAAGCATGGTTGTAGGCCTACTGGCCGACACTATTTGGATAGGCACGTAAATATAGTCCTACAGTCTCACTGATCGTCAAACCTTTGTTTGGGGCCAAACAAAAAACTACCCCAGCCAAATTCAAATTTTTGTTCTTCACAATCTATTATTATCATATTATTATCATGATTATTTTTATTATTATCATTAGTATTATTATCATTATAATTATTATCATTATTATTATCATTATTATAATATAATAATAATTATTATTATTGTTATTATCGATTTTATAATCATCAATATCAGCATCATCATCATCATCATCAATCATTACCATTATTTAGAATGAGGTAATCTTTTATCATGATTAACATAATGGAATTCATTGTAATTGTATTACAAAAATTGTTTAAAATAAATCAAATTGTTTTACAGCAAACCCCCTCGGAGTTTTTAAAGACTAATCTGTACACGTTATACCATTACAAAATTGGCAATGCTATAATTGATACTTTTTCCAGAGAATAGTCGGCAATGTCTATTTCAATAATTCTGAAATTAATCATTTTATATGGGATTCTCATTATTACTAGAAATTATTGAAATAAATTTTAAGATATTTATCTTTACGTCTTTGATAGAAATACCAATCATTTTTAATTAATGTCTTCTAAAGCTTTTATGTTGCAAGAACTATACTTTCTTTAGTGGAAGTATACTTTGCATACTGACTGCGTAATGCGACTTAGAAACGAATCAACATTTGCACAGCAACAACGTACGGGTGATCATTATAGAAAGCACGTACGGTACTCTGAGTTCGCGGCTGGTTATAACTTATGTTCTGTGTGTGACAACTGTGAAATACCGTGATGAGAACCAAAACAACAACGATATAAAATTAACAAGATTGATGAGAACACCGTGAAATTAAAAGCCTAACCATCACACAATATGACAGACGTAAGTACAATGACGAGTCTTAGCTAACGTTAGAATCTAAGCTTAGATCTAGTAGGCCCTACAGGCAAATTAAGTAAACAACATTTCTACTTGTGTCCTGTGAATGCATGTTTTTCTTTAATTTAATAATTAACCTGGTGATAATTCAGACGAGAGTTGTGTTCTTCTGACCGTCTCTGAATTCTGATTGAAATAACGATTTCGGTGAGACTGAGTGAGTGAGTGAGTCTGTTGATTTTAATTTTGTTGTTCTAGACTAGATATCTAGATTAACAACTATAAGATCCAGAGAGTGTAGGGCCAGGGGGAAGGTAATTGACAAATTATGTCAGTTTTATTTCAAGAATTCCCCATACCGGTGGGGTGCTATACACTGCTGCTAGACTGTCTGTAGGCCTAGATCTAGACAGTTATTGCGTGTTTACAAATTTCGCTGGACTGTCAACAATTAATGCAGGCTTTTATCTGCAGGGGCGCTGGTCCGAGAATATGGTTAAACGCGGACCGTTAACTTCCTGGAAATGAGGATCGTCCGCATTTTCGCTGACGATTCTGATTTCCGATCTGGAAAAACAGAATCCGCAGTGATTTTTTTTGATGCATTTCACATTGACTTTGTACACAGACTTTCACGTTACGAGCGATAAATCCTTGGGAAAACGGACAACTCTCAACATAAAAGTAGACGGTGAACTGGGGGTATATTATTACGTGGAATCTTTTTTCCCCAAAATCCGCAAAGCGCCAAAGAAAGAAAATGTCAGCGAAAATGCGGACAATTTTTTAGGACGCATTTTGTCCACGTTTACAATGATATCCTTGTTTGTGCAGACGATCCTCATTCTCGGACCAGCGCCCCTATCTCTAATCTAGATCTAGTTTAATCAGCATGTTTAGACTCTAGACCCTGTCTAACAGACTTTGTTATATATGATTTTTGTTAATCTTGTTTGATTATTTTTTTCTGTGACCTAGGAAAAGAAACGAGATGAAAGTGCGGGGAAGGATAAGGTGGCCATCGAAGACACCGCTTTTGAGGCCCTGGAGAAGGACTTCCAGGAGGTCCTCAATGAGCTCATGGGCGATAAGAGTCTGGAGAAATTTAGGTCAGAATACGAGAAGCTCCACCGAGCCCTAAAGAAATCCCACGAAAGCGAAAAAACGGCTGATGCATAAATGCAGGGAGCTCAACGCAGAGATTGTGGCCAACTCTGCCAAGGTCTCTACCGCCCTCAAACTCTCACAGGAGGACCAGACAACCATTGCACAATTAAAGAAGGTGAGTGAAACGAGTATGAAAGGAAATATAACGCCTATCTGGCAAGAACAATAGAGCTTAAACAAATTTAGACAGAAAAGACATCATTCAATGGTTTGGTCTTTATATGAAAAATTCAAGATGATATTCTGTCTTACGCTTATACCCTCTCTCTCTGGTACAGCTGTTTACATTCAAGGTTTAAAGATGGATGTACATGTATTCCTTGTTATGTTTCATATCTGTAGCTTATGAACAGAAAATTGTATTTTCAACCGTGTGAAGCCATTGATGTTGCCAATGGGTGGTTCATGAATTTAAGCCTTTGGGAAAAAGAGAAATCGATTCGCAAAGGGTTAAGAGCAGTCGACAAGTAGTCCACTTGAAAACACGTCTGGGGAGTGTTTCACAAAGACTAAGACCGACGTTAAGTAGGACTTAACTATGTCAGGCCATTCATGCCACTGGTTGCTCTCACCATTATGATCTTTAGATAATATTTTTTCCTTCAATAATGAACTATCAAAAGATGCAAATTCTGTAGATTTGTGACCATGATTTGTATGTCCGTGAGAGAAAAATTCCAGTGAATTGTGAGAGCAAACAGTGGCATGAACGGGCTGCCATATTTAAGTCCAACTTAAAGTCCTTGTGAAACACTCCCCTGTTGTGTTACGTAGTTTAGTCAGGTCTGAAAATTAAACATTCACATAATGCATTATTCTTGGGCCCTGTAGGAGATTGAGAAAGCCTGGAAGATGGTCGATGCATCCCAAGAGAAGGAACAGAGAGCCAGGGAGACCATCCAGTCTCTCAAACTAGAGATCACGAACCTCAGTCGTCTGGTGGAGCAGGGTGCAGGACTTACCATGGGTCAAGAACACAGGTCAGTT